TTATAGCACAATGTGCTAATTGTAGTTAACTTTTATATTGTATATTTTAATTGCCACCTGATACAATTTAAATTACATTTTTAATTGTAATCTGATGACTAATTTTAAAGTAGAATTGGAATTCTGCATTTTCTTTGAGATGACAGTAGTAATAAAATTATCATTTTTTTTTTAGTACTTACAGTTTCCCTTAAGTTATATACTGTTATGCTTATTTTGCTAATGATGAAGCTGAACCCAAAGAAGTGAAGTTGCTTGGCTGAGATCACACATCTTACAAATGGCAAAGCTAGAATTCGGATTTAGTAGTCTGTTTCTAAAACCCGTTTTCCTAATCTTTATGCTATATTGTTATACATTGTGCAAGGTCTGGGAATACACGAAGAAAAGATGCAACTCATTCCCTCCAGGACCTTACTGTTTAGCCAGTGAACCAGAAGAGAGTTATAGAACAGTGGTAAAGTGCTGTGACTCTTTGACATAGATCTTTGTTTTTCATATTCGCAACTGTGATTAAGGCTCATTCATTTTTGGTCTTTCATGAGTCCATTCCTTATTTTTATATTTGAAAAATCAAAATGAATATTTCTCAAACATTTTTTCATCTCAAGAAGTGCTGCCTTAAACTAAACTTTGGATTCATTATTTTACATTTATCTAGCTCTTTTACAGAGGTTTTCACACATTTTAACACCTTTGTTCACTACCACAATTAGGTTATTAGCTGTCACCTTTTTAAGAGGAGATCAGAGCTTAGAGAGTTTAAATAACCTGACTAAAATTGTAATAGTGGAAATAAGATAACTAGAAATCTATTACTTGACTAATTGGAAACAGTATATGCTAAATACATACAACTTTTGTATTTATATTTATAAACTGCTTGTCTTTCTATAATATGCTTTAAAGTTGTTATAATCATACTGCTTTTCAAGGTAAAAGTATATTAAGTATACATTTCTTGTTAATTTTACTTATTTTGTGTTGGTTTAATGATTTAAAAAGCATTAGACTATAAGAATATGAGTCTCTTGAATTTGGATTATTTTCAGTGAGCTACTCAGTATAGTACTGCTTGTATTATAACATTTTACATTGTTCGAAAATTCTGTTTTAAATCTGTTTTACCTTTCAGTATAACAAAAATTATTACTTTTATTTTTTACTTTTTATTTTTATTATTACCACACAGTGCATGTGAATGGTAGAACATTAGAAAATAAAACGAAAAACACCCAGAGATTACTACTGTTATTAACTTGTTATATTTAATTCTGGATCTTTTTTCGATTCACACACATACACAAACACAAGGATCCAGTCCAGAACTTTGCATTTGTTATAGCTAGATTTCATGTCTCCTGTCTCTTTTATATAACATTCTTTTTAAAACAGCCTCTTTTGAGAACTTTGTTTTTAAACAAAAACCTGTAGGTGTCCCCTCCTCCCCCACCGTCCTGCCACTGACAGAAAATGTTTAGTGAATGTTTTTAGTATTAATCATTTTTAATTGTTACCAAAACTCAAGGAGAGAGAAATTTCAATTGAGAATTTGCTGGTGGTAAATTGACAAATGCTGAGAATTAGCCCTGTATCTCATTGTTTTGACACTTGTTAGTCGTTGTTTGGGTACAAGTAAATTAAAAGCATTCCCTGTAGTAGAGGTCAAAAGAATGTTGTACACTTCAGTGCTTCCCTATAGAATCAAAGGAATTTGAGTTGAATTGACTGAGTGCTATTAGAATGAGACATCCTTAAACATCTTGATGGGAATAGCTGATGAAATAAATCAATTTAGTTGGAAACTAAAGATTGAATTTAGTATTCTTCTACTGAAGAGAGTGCAGGAAAAGAATTAGATTTTCAAACTGGGATTTTGAGACACAAAAAAAGTAAGATCTGGTTTAGTTGTTGCATACTTTATTCCAAGTGCTGCTGCCTCTGCTTTTACCCTTTTGCCCCTCAAATATATACTGCAACTAACCTGACTTAGTATTGTTAACAATCACATCACTAGATCAAAAAAGGTTTAAAAAGAAACAGGAAGATGGAAGATGAAATTTAATATATCATTAAGAATAGAAAAAAAAGTACATCATTGGTGAGAAATCTTTTTCCTTTAATAAAAATTTCTGTAGCTAGTTCTTTCAACACGTAGCTAGTTCTTTCAACACGTAGTTTTACGTGCCTTAGTAAAAATCCATCATAGCAAAGTCATTCATTTATAATTTGATTTTTGTTTAGGTATGTGAATAACCACTCCCATTCCCAGTAAGGGTCTGCTTTAACTCTTTCTGAGTAAATTATGGATTGGAATTATATTCATATTGTGCTGCAGTCACAAAATTTAGCAATGTTTTCCCTAAAAGTTTTTTTTTTTTTTAATTTTCTAACTTGTCATTTAGACATTAGTTTCCTACCACCTGTGTGTGTGTGTAAGAATGTTGTAAAGATTGGTATCTCTCCTTTAAAAATGTTAGAAAAAATTTATGTTACGTGATGTACTTTACCAATAAAGTTGAATTAAAAGTAATATCTTCTCTCATTTTTCCTTGACAATTTCTAAACCACGAATATCTCTAGCTTTCTGATCCTGTAACTATATGGATTCGCAGTAACAAAGGTTTATGATTTTCAACCTTAGCTGGCCTTTTAGTATTGCTTAGCAATTCTGTATTCCATTCTCTTATGTTTTGCTTTTACATGTATTACTTACTCTCACCCTCTCCTTAAATTATATCTTTGTCATTCTCAGAAGATTATCTTCTCTCCTAATTCAGAGAGGGAGAGGGAGAAAAGAGAAGGATAAGAGGAGAAGGAGGAGTAGAGAGAGGGAGAGGGACAAGGAGAGCATTTACTTATATTTGCCCCTTCTCCCTTTTAACATAGCTAACAATGTTCCTATCTTTTACAGGAATCTCCCTCAGTCAGTATCCATTTTCCTTCTCGTGTCTATAACTTTGGCCACTTTACTGAAAACTTCTACTTAGCCATTAAAAACTTGTTTAAATCTCTTCTATCCTAAAAATGTCTTGTTATCAATTGTCTCTGAACTCTACTCTTTCTAGCAACAATTCCATCTCATTCCTTACTTTCATTGTAAAACTTTTTGAGAGTTTACTTACACTGTTTGACTTTATATCCTCTTATTCAGCCCTAAACTTAGACATAAGTTTATTCATATGAGTCTCTTGAATATATCTCATATGAATATTCTTATACACATCACTCTTTGCAAAATTAGACACTATTGATTACTTATTCCTTTAACAGTTAAAAAAGTTTTGATCAAGAACTTAACGTGTAGTTTAAATAGTCAAATAGTATGCAGCAAAGCTAGTAGAAAAAGAGTAGTGCTTTTCTTCACCTTTTCCAATGCCTGATTTCCACAACCCAGAGGCAACTACTTGCAACTCTTTTTATTTCTTGTTATTTACTTTCTTATATCTAAATTAACATGTACCGTGCTATTTATATCTCACTGATTACACTGATTTTATACGCATATATCAGTTTCCTCCAGTTTTCCATCTCTCCTGCTCTTTAGATTTCTTTAGATGTGCATTCAGTTTTTAAATTTAAAGTTCTCTTTTATTTGTTCCTCTTAAATTCATTTCAAAACCTTACCCCAATGTGATGCTATTGGAGCGAGGCCTTTGGGAGGTAATTAGAATTAGAATGGGATTTAGTGCTCTTATAGGAGTCCAGAGAAAGCTTGCTGCTCTTTATTCTCTGCCATGTGAGGGAGGATACAAGAAGATAGCCATCTAGGAACCAGAAAGCACATCCTCACCAGACACTGAATCATAAAGTCTTTCCTTTATGTTTTCTTCTAAGAGTTTTATAGTTTTAGCTCTTATATTTAGATCTTTCATCCTTTTGAGTTAATTTTTGTATATGGTATCAGGTAAAGATCCAACTTTCCTCTTTTGCTTGTGGATATCTAGTTTTCCCGGCACCATTTGTTAAAAAGACTGCCCCCCTTTTCCCATTGAAAGGGCTTGGTACCCTTATTGAATATAATTGAACCGTGTGTGTGTGTGTGTGTGTGTGTTTGGACTCTCTATCCTATTCATTGGCTTATATATCTGTCTTAATGACAGTACCACACTGTTTGATTACTGTAGCTTCGTAGTAAGTTTTGAAATTAGGAAGTGTGACTCTTCCAACATTGTTCCTCTGGTTCAAAATCATTTTGGCGTTTTGAGGTCTTTTGGGTTCCATGTGAATTTTAGGATGGATTTTTGTATTTCTGGGAAAAAGTCATTGATATTTTGATAGGAATCACATTGAATCTTTATATCTTTTTGGGTAGTGTTGACATCTTAGCAATATTGTCTTCCAGTTAATTAACACAGGATGTCTTGCCATTTATTTATGTGTGTTTTACTCTTTTTCAGCAGTGTATTGTAGTTTTCAGTGAACAGGTCTTTTGCTTCTTTGGTTGTTTATTCCTGTGGGGTTTTTTTTTGTTTTTTTTGATGCTGTTGTAAATAGAATTCTTAATTTCTTTTTAGGATTATTCATTGTTAGTATATAGAAAGCAATTACTTTTTTTGGGGTGTTATTTAACATATTATATCACTGAATTACTTCACCTTCTGTCAGTATTTCAGTGACAGTCAAGTGACTTGAACTGAATTCAAATGGAATCTAAAAATTAGAACAAATGATAATTTCTGAATTGAGTCCAAGGCCTGAAGTTTTATTTGATCTTTGTTAATCAAACTAAGGTTTAAACTTATCAAAAATGCTAGTTTGAAATGATAGATCTGGACAAATACTAGAAATCAAAGTAACTTTTGAAACAATTTAGTTTGAGCTCTTGATAGCATTAAAAAGTTCTGGAAATTATATTTTTGGTAGAATTTGGAGCTTGTAGCTCTTATGCCTTCTTGATGCTTCTCTAGATGTTGCTGAAATGTTTTTTTACATTTTGGAGGTGGGATATACAGTTGAATACACATTATAGATGATATCTCTTTTTTTTTAATTCACAGGCGACAGAAACACTATTTAGAATGGGTGTAGCAAGAGGAACCATCACAACGTTAAGAAATGGAGAAGTAAGATGAGAATTTTGATATAATTATTAGTTCTTAATTCATAGTATACCATTTTTAAAACATAAAATGTGAATTTTATGATGCTTTATATAACAGATTGAGAAATACCTGATGTTCACAATATTGAGTGAATCTGACTTAAAAATCCATTTTAGTTCAGTCATGTTGGAACCAGATCTTGAGTTGAAAATGAATTGCTGAGCCTTTTAATATTTGATTACCAGTTGTTTTTACTCTTAAAGGAAATGACATTTTATTTAATAATAACTTGTGCAAACATGTATTTTTAAATGAAAATAATCTCATACTTTTTTCTTTCGTTCCTATTTTATGTTCTACAGATGTGATACTTTCTTAAGATAAAATAATTTGAACTATTAATATTTATTAGAGAGAGAGAATGCTAGAGAGAGAGAGAGAGAACGATGTGGGGTGGGGAAAGATGAAGGAGAATGGGGGAGAGGGAGAAATGGGATGCAGTCTGCTCTTGTTGTTGGGGCTCAATTAAGATATAGATTCTAAGTTTTGACTTTTGTAAATGTTCCTACCAGTTCTTAAAAAAAAAGTTTTACCCCCTTAAATAAATTTTATTCCAAAATTACTACTGGCCTGATTACCACTCTGCTTTATAAAATTTATTGTTTGATATTATCTACTTATTAGGCAACAATGTACAACAATTTGAAGATCATATACTCTTTTTCATACATAAAATATATATATTACAAAGTAATACCAATGTGACTTGGTACTATATATATATTTTATGACTTGGTATTACTTTGTAATATATATATTTTATGTATGAAAAAGTCTTAATTAATCCCTTTGTATTCTCAACAAACTGCATTATATGGTGCCATTTTAAGAAAAGAAAACGTTCCCATTAATAAAGTCAGACGTATTTATCAGCCTAGAATGTGTCAAAGTGAAATTCGGATTTTAGTAATCGTTATGTATTTCCAAATGGGGAGGGCAATGAACTTTTGAACTCTTATCTTCTAAGAAGGTTGGCAAAGTGTATGCAAGAAAGTTTTATAAGTAATCTGAGCATGTCAACACATGTTGGATATGTACATATTTTATTTAATGGAGAGGAAGTAAAGTACCTGCTTTTGATCCATTTTTTCCCAGATTGCTACAGGTGACTAAACTGGTTAACAGATATATTAACGTTAGAGTTTTCAAGCACTCTCTGTCCTTCAGTTTCTAAAACAAGGATGAAACTATAAGATGCACATTTTTTCCTTACATTTTAAGATCTCTAAGAATACAAAGTCCTCTAATCAGTGGCACCTCATAATCACATTTACTATTTTCACAGTTTAACACCTCTTAAATTGTGAGATTTCTTATGTCTATGATATTTTAGAGTTGATAATATACGGTAATACTTTGTAGTTTAAAAAAATACAGTGGCATTCAGTAAATGAGTTAGAATAGGCCATGAATTAGTTTTAATTTAATTATTTGACTTTGGGAGATGGAGAATTAAAACAAAACAAAGATGTTATTGGATATGTATATAAACAAATGGCATAGATTTTTAGAGATGATAGTGGGCTAAGTTCTATGTAAGTAGATGATATAGTATGGTTCCTGCCTTTATAGGAGCTTACTTTCTGGTGGAGGAAATAATTACATCAGTACTTGAAAAAAAATCTGGGAGAGAGTAGAAATGCTTAGTTTCGATTGAGTCTCTAGAGTCCAGATTCCACTTGGAATGTGCTAAATTTAAGTAACAAGGCAATAATAGAGAATTCATTTAAGAGTAGGAAATAAACTTAAAAGGTTAACAATTTAGTGGATTTTTTAAAACAGAAGCTGAAATCACCATATTTATCATATTGGAAAATTTTTGAAATAGTAAGAGAGGAGAGTAGCAGAGTTTACTTGCCCTAGAGCATTTAAAAAATCACTGTAGCCCGTTACTGTAAAAAATATCTGTTAAACAGAGATTTTAGTAAGTAACCCCATGACAGTGATGAAAGGTAGGGGAAATAAAGACTGGTATATCCAAATAACAAAAATATCAGTCTTTGGGTAAATTTGTTATATGGATGCATGATGAGACTGAACTTTGCTTGTCTAACCTTATCTGTGTTCTGTCACTAAGCCTACATTTTGCCTATCTAATTGAACATTTCTGTTTGGGTGTTTTAAGAAATGTTGAGACCAGAAAACATGGTTCCTCTCTTTAAAAATAATAAGATTGTGAAAGAATTGGACACTTACTTTATAAGCTATAATGATAGCTTTAAGCAAAGAATTTATATTATCTTTTAAAATCCTCAACACAATTCTGCAAGGGAGAAATTATTATGCCTATCTTATAGGTAAACTGAGGCTCAGAGAAGATAAACATTTTGCCTATGATCAAACAGCAAAGCCCATTCATTCCATTATACAATATAACCTCCCTCAATGTACTTCACTTAGACTAGAGTTTTCTAATTGTTCAATTATCCTGAGGTTTGACAATTGAAATATAGCATAGTAGCTAAGACTCAGATTATATATTCAGCCTGATTTTTTATGCATTTTGATTATCACTATTATCATTTCATATGTGCAAAGAAATGTATGACTTAAAATGAATAGAAAAAAATACTGACCCTTCACAGTTCTGTTTTGTGACCACCTAACCATGTTTATGTGTTCTTTGTACAGCTCTGTATATGGGCTAGCTGGATTTTTGTATCTTGATCAAATTACATAAGCTAGAAAGCAGATAAGTTTTCTAGGTAGAAATTTTTTAAATATGTTTATTTTGGGGGGTAACTTATAAAATTATAACTGTCAATAAATAGTTATTGAATGTGCTTGTCTCAAAAATTACTCTTGTGTAGTTTTTTTAGGAAAGGTATGATTCTGTTTTCAGCTTCCAGGTATTTATATATAAGGTGAAACAAGTACTTTTTGTTAAAAGATAGTTACTTTCCTAAAATTATGTATTTTAAAAATTATCTACTGTTCTTTTACATAACTTGAGACCTAAGTAAGCCAGAAATTGGTGTTTTTTTTATTAGATTCTTCTTAATTTTAAAGTTTTGAAAGAGAACAAAGATTAGCAGGAAGATAGGATTTCAAACTCTAGGTCTTAATTAAATCCTTTGCCTTCTGTTTATCAGCTGATACCATCTACCCAGTTCTGATAGTAATAGTAAGGAATCAGTGAGTGTAATGAAGAAGCTGAATGACTTTCTGTAGCCAGCAAGTTGATTCGTCTATTGTAGCTCTATTAATTTTTTAAATTTTATGAATTTTTAAAATATCAGATATATCTATTTTCATTTATTGTATTTAGTGAGCACCTTCTATTTTTCTGGCATTGTTTTTAGGTGCCTGTGATGCATCAGTAAGCAAAACAGACCAATATCCTTACCTTTCGGGAACTTAGCGTATTAATAACTTACGTTCTAATTATGGAAGAAAATAAAAATGTATAAAACAACTAGAAGTTATTACTATTACAAAATTTCAAAAGAAAGTATAAGCAAATATATGGTTTAAAAGTACAAGTAATTTAAGTAATGAATGAAAAAACAAGTAATTAGAATAGGGTTATTTAAGAAGATTTCTTAGGAGGCACATCTTAAACTGGGCCCTAAAAATTTTATGAATGTAATTGAGGGAGAAGAGGTCACAAGGCGTTGCCAATTAGGAGAAACTATATAAAAGGGAGCATAGTTGAGAGTTATGGTGATATATTTTGATCAAAAAGGAAAGGAGGGGAGGTATTGAAAGGAAGTAATATTTGTCGAGTACTTTTTCCAGATACTTTATTATTATTCAGCTCATTTATATATCAAAACAACTTTCCATTTTAGATTCTTTTAGCACCATTCTTTCCAAGGGAAATATTTAAGGTTTAAGAAAGGGTAGTGTTTTTTTTTTTAATATTACATTTCCCTGATAATTTGAATACTTATGATTTTGATTAAACTTGTGGTAGAATCAAGAATTAATACTTTATTTTCCTCCCAAGTGGAGTAGCCAGTCTTGTGTGGCAGAAAGGGCACTAGTCTGCATGCCAAGAGACCTGGGTTTTCTTACTGGCTTTACTAGCTATGTGGTCTTGGACAATTTACTTAACTTCTCATAACTTCGATTTATACTTTAGAAAATAAGTTGATAAGATCAAGGGTCCCTAACCCCGGGGCCATGGACCAATACCAGTCCGGTGGCCTGTTAGGAACCAAGCAGCACAGCAGGAGGTGAGCAGCAGGCCTGTGAGTGAAACTTCATCTGTATTTGCAGCTGCTCCCCAGCACTAGCATCACCTCCTTATTAGCTCCACCTCAGATCATCAAGATTAGATTCTCATAGGAGCACCGGTCCCTGGTGCCAAAAAGGTTGGGGACTGCTGGGTTAGACGATCTTTAAGGTCATGTACGGATTTAACATTTTCTACTTCTGGCAGCTTTCTATACCCTTTCTTTCTATGTGGTTCTCAACATTGACTGTGCATCAGAATTGCACATGGAGCTCTGTAAAAGTGTATGTCTGTGGGCTCCATCCCCAAAATATTTGTTCATTTGGTCTAGCTTCAGGCTCCAGTATCAATATTTATTAAAACATACACTGATTTTACTGTTTAGCTATGGTTGTAAAGTACCGTTTTTGAGAAGTATTTTTCAATCCAATGTCTTTTTTGAACTCAAGGAATGTACAGCTTGAGTGAGACAAAGCACACAAAGAAATAGCAAATAAATTTGAAGTTTATTTAAAGATTTTTGTATATAAAGTAGAACACAGTAGCATGGATTGTTGCTGTTTTAGAAAGATGGATATAGGATGTGACCCAATATCTACTTTTGTTTTATATTACTGCGTGGTATTAGATATTCTGCATGTTTTGTTAGAAAGGAAACCTTTTTTGCTTCCTGGAGCATGCTTTAAATAAGTAATATAGACTATTTAGATTTGGTGTGATTGTTGCAGTGGAGATAGGCTCTCTGTTATGGATTTCTGTTTCTTCAGGTTTAGCACCTGCCTAG